TGTGTGTGTGTGTGTGTGTGTGTGTGTGTGTGTGTGTGTGTGTGTGTCACTGTAGCAGCTCAGCAGGAATGACCCCTTTCTTCAGTATCAGATTCCCATACAGAGCTGTTTCCCTGTGCAGACAGAGCAGAGGAAACAAAATCATCTGTATCTTTAAAGACATATTTGAAATAATGAGTCTTTTTTGAAGAGTTTAAAGCATTGTGTTGTGCAAATCCTAATCTCCAATTATTCAAATGTTGTTTTTTGAAGAGATAGCCTGGTTCCAGACTTTTGAATCGCTGCCTACATCTCATTTGATAAGAAACTTACAGAGTGAAACAAGTGAAACAAAATGGCAATTCAGTCATCAGGCTAGTAAAACTTCACTTTTACAAAGTGACACGTGCATTGTACTCATTTTACAGACACAGAATGAAACATTCAGGTACAATAATCAAATGAAGGAAGAGAAAATACACACCCTGTTGCCACAACAGCGTAGGCTTTCTTGGCTCGCTCATAGAAAGCAAACCTCTCCACCTTCTCAAGAGGAGACTATATGTAGGCAAAAATCAACACACAAAGGGTCAGAAATCAAAGTAACACAACATTACTTTGTGTTACTTACTGAGGTCATTCATTTTTTACCTCAGACCCTGCCTGACCAAGGAGCAGTGTGTAGGTGTCCCACACAGGGACAGCTAAACCTCTCTGTTTGTCACTGTTTACCAGATCCATGACTGCAGCCTTTGGAAGCACATGAGCACAGATTCAACAAATTCATTAAAAAGAGAACAAAAGGAGCCGACAGAAAAACTCCTTATTGCCATCCACAAGACATCACTCAGTAGTTTTAACTTAAGATTCATGGGTCCTGTACCGGAGAAGGGACATAGGTGTCCAGGGGCAGCAGCTTCAAAATGGCCTCCAAAAGCCGTGGTATTCCCAAACCTACATTAAGATCGAAATCAGTTATAAATACATACACTTGCCAACATTTTTATTTACAAATATATGAATTTACCTACCATCAGCTCTTATCTCTTTTGGACCACAAGCACAAATGGAAGATGCTGGAAAATTTGCATCAGCAAGAACTGAAAAAAAGAAAGAAAAACACTGAGTCCCAGAATGACTGAATGAACTACAGCATGTTACATTGAGGAGGAGTTTGCCAGTTTACAGGTTATGATGCAGTGAGTCCTGCTCTGTCACTCTTTACACTGGTGTTGACTTAAACTTGGATTGGCCGTCTGCCCTACAGTTACTATACACACGTTATAGGCTATCACTGCAAGCGCAGCCAGCGAGAGGCGACCATGGATATGTGTGCGTCATTAAATATCATACCCAGTTCATCCCCGTGGCCCATTTTAGCGAGAGCATACAGCAGATCAGGAGATACAACGGAGGGGATTCCCTTCAGTACGACCATACTGGCAGCCACAGAGAAGATAGAACTGGTAATGAAGCGAAGCGAGAGCAATCGATCCGCATTACTTCCGGTTTCGTTTAGGCAAGACATGCGAGCATGCGTAGCATGTTTGCACTTCCGGTTATTTGGCCACAAGGATGCCTAAATGATTTACTTGTTTCTTGACAGGTTTGTCATTAATAGAGGTTATATCCCACATTTTGAGGCAAATAACTTCTTAAATCCAGACAACTTGAAGCGTTTGAAAGTCCATCAACTGTGTTCATTGCAGGTTTCTGCAAATCATTTTTCAAGAATAAAACGGTGTCACCTGCCAGTTGTCTTATTATAATATTACTCCTTGCAATTAAGAGACCCTCTAAATGACTTTATTTTATATTGTGACAAAAGCATTTTGTAAAGATTTTGAACTGTACATAAAAACTGTCAAATACTGTACCAACAAAAATGTCATAAAAACTGTAGCGGCATGTATTGCCCGTGAACTATGTACTATATAATTATACAATTAGAATTTGTGCCTTAGATATTACTATTTTCTTTTAATTATTTATTTCCTTTTTTGTATTTATTTCCGTCTATCTTTCTGTGGTTGCCCCCCTGGCATGTTAGTTTGAATGTATGCTTTTTTTCTTATTGTCAGTTTGGGAATTGAACAATGTCTTTTTGGTTAGATTCCTGAAAGGTCTGTGGAAGATATTTTAACGTTTTGTTCTACAACGTAAAATATGTCAGTAATACCCTGCTTGTCAATTGAAGCTTTTATGTGTCTTAAAAAAGTCGGTTGCTAACAAGTGGCTGCGACTTTAACACGTAGCAATGCCGGTTAGTCCGCCCTTACAGCCTGTTTGTGTATATTTGCGCTCATGCAATGGTGGTGTAGTTTGTTTACAGCCCAATGTTACCTTTTTGCTTTTGCTGATTGCATTCACGCTTCAAAAATCATGAAAGAAGTGTTCATTTGTGAAGATTATCTTGCTGAAAAAACGTGAAATTATCATAAACACTTTGTTGCCCCTGGCTAATGTTCAACCCTGGCTAACGTCCAGGGTTGAACTAAAAAATACGTCATGCGGCACCATAGACTGTATATCAGAAGTGCAGCACTTTATAATTGGTTTAAATCATCACTCAAACACCGTTGTCTGTTCATAATCCCAGGTTTTAACATAAATACATATTATAGCTATTTTCATTTTGTACATATCTGAACTATGGCTTATATTTATGTTATGTATTCAATTAATTATTTCCAAAAATGTTACGTTTCTGCAACTAACTTAAAGTTATCTAATGACATGGAAGCCTACCTATATCAAGCTATAAAATAGGGTTGTGTCATTAGTCCAACAAACTGCAATGTTGGTTAATTTTCGGTCTGTGTTGTTTCTGACACGCTTGGGTGGGCATAATTTAAAGCAGACACCGGTGAACGTGTTATTCCGACACGGTCCCTGGTGCCAAGAATGTGAGATAATGAAAATATTTGTCAGATGAAATCCACCCAGCCTGTTTCATCTGTGAAACTCTCAGCTGGATGGCAGAAAAGTGCTGAGGAATTCTTTCCATGACCGCAGGTCCCAAAAAAAAAGAAGTAAAAAGCAAAAGATCTGCTTATAAAAATGGCTTTCATAAAAATCAGGTCACAGCATTGAGCAGTGCAGGCTTGTGGTTTTATAGCCCATAGTGAATTTACAATCCTTATACAGCTGCTGTTAATAACAAACAGATCCATGTTGAAAGCTTACTTTATTGCTGGTTTTTAATCTGTAAATATTAGCTGCATGTTCATAATATTTCTGCATTGCAGACCAGACCTACAATGCATTTTGCTTTATCCTCTTATTATTTATCCACAGGCCTTGAGATGTTCTGTGTGTAATGCTGAACTCCCAAATCGTATGTATTTTGTGCTAATTGTACAGGAAGGAATCAGCCCACATCACACTGCTTAGTATTTACTTTTGTTGCGGCTTTATTTATGTTCGTTTAATTTAATCCTCATCTATAACCTGAAGTGAATGCACATGCAGTTCTGACATTTAACACAGGGTGGAGCGTCAATGCAGGAAGTGCATGTATATGTAAGCTCCATACAGGTGATGAGGATCAGGTGGGCGAAACCAACGGTATGCAAACATCTTTTGACCGTGACAACATGTTGGCCTGAGAGCGTGGTTTGGATTCTGACTGGAAACAGAGCTCGAACAATGCTGCTATAATGCCACGGTGAGCGCATGTCAAACGGCGAATAAATGGATTGCCAAATCCAAAGATAACGCACTATAGACATGGTTTATTTTTTAGCACTCGTCCGAAACAAGTTTGCGTCGTCTGCCCCTCAGTGGTTTATGGATAGAGCTATTTGTAAAAGTCATTACACGTTTGTATCAATATATATGTATGCTTTCTTGATTCGAAATCACTTTTTGACTGGCTTTGCTTTGAAAATAATTGTAAGCGCATACAGGCTCACATAGTTTACATGCATAGATCAATACAAATATAAAAATGATTTGGATTTAAAAATAAATAAATAATGTTAAATCCACCATGACTGAGTGGCACAGAGGCGGTGCAGTTTAAGAATATGAGAGAGAAGAGACATTGCAAAAAAGGCCCATGCAGGAGCCAGGCCTGTCTGCCAGCATGAAAGCCCCTTTCTCCCTCTCTGGACCCATGCTGCTCTCTCTTTATTCCGGCTGCTTTAAATGAGTTTATCACGCTATGAGGGTCTGCACTGCCAAAATGTAACGTTTTGCCCCCTTTATCAGTGTGGAGAGCCTCAATTGAGTCTACATTTATTATTTTGACCTTTCGGTAGTCTCAAAGAGGAGCTTCTTTTCGGGCCCTCTCTGCAGACTTTTGTGCTTCCCCGCGGAGTGAGAAGACGAGTTTTTTTTTTTTCTTCTCCTTTTAAAAGTTTGGTTCCAGGGGGCTGACAAGAAAGCAAGCTCCAGGGGAATATTGAATGAAAATAAAAATCAATTAGGCCATGGCCTTGTGAATATATGAGGCGCCGCCGTGTGAAGATCAGAGAGAGAAAAAGGTGCCGTGCGATGATTGGAGCGGCGTAAGAAAGCGCTCACTAACCAAATTCGTTCTGGTGTTTTTGTTTTTTTCTCAAGTCAAAAATCATCGTTTTATTTTTTTAGCCAATATGCGTATCTGTATGGCTATTCTTTCTATACAGGCCTATGAGACATGAGCATTTTTAAAGGTGTTTTATTTGCCGCTAAAAGAAGGCACTACATGGATATTTTCTCAAAATCATTATAGAAGTATAATTTTACTGAAATAATCATCTTCACTGACATTTTGTTAAAAGCCCATTGGTTATGAGATCTTAAAATCGAGCCTTTTGGATATGTTGATGCTGCACTGTGACACATTTTGGGCCTGTTATTATTTTAAGTAAAGAAATCACAAGTCAATTTCGTATGAACATATTTTCACATCTTATAACAAAGCTCTATATGACAAGTTATCTCTTTTTTTTGTAGGCCTATCAAGTTTTAATAACCTGACCTTATAACTGTCACTTTACACTAAGTTTCACTAAATGTAGTGCTCATCTGCATTGGGTGGATAGTGTGGGACCTATATCAGACCTATATCATTTTGAAATCGCCAATATGTTTAAATTGGAAGACGATTATCAGATATTGAATTCAAAAGGAAATTGTCACGTATTAGTTTTCCTTGTGTCAAATCATTTCAGATTTTTAAAAAGACAGCTCAGGCTGTAATCTGGGTCACTATAGTTTTTAGGATTATAAAAGCCTTCATTTGTACAAAGCCAATTTATCTGCTTAAACACTTGTGCATAAATATACATACCGTATGGCCCTTTTTGTTTATTAAGCCTACAATGCTTTTGCTGCATTCATCAGAAAACAAACACATTTGTAGCTGTATGTTTACATGTGGAATGTCAACCTATACCTACATAGAAGCCACGTAGACATACTATTTACAATAATTTATTACAAATGTATCAGATTTTAGGCAGCAACAGTCATAATAAACATGTAAGGAAGTCATAAATGTAACATTTCTAAGGTCAGCTTTGTTATAGGCGAATCCACTGCATTTAGAAATCTATTCATATTATTATTTAGCCACACAAGTAACTGGTATGTAAACAAATAAGCCATGTTATTTTTGATGTCAGTGTGATTATTTGACTTATCTGGATAGCTATTTGTTAAGCAGTAGGCTAAACTAACTGACTAATCATGACATGGTTTTGAATTTGATCGCTAAACAAATACAGTTGCTGCATTACAGCTACAATACATTTTCTTAATGTATATTTTCTAAATTGAACATAGAGTATGCTATCCCACTATAGAAACATGTCCTGAAGTGGGATGACGAGAGATTGCTTGAAATACGTTTAATAAATTGTCACAATTTTATTGCATCATTTGATGCAAATCCAACATGTCATTTGATAACAATCAGGTAGGCTACATTGATTTATTCGTGACAGATTTAACATTGATTTTGTTTAAATCTTTTGTCATTGCCCTTTGAGTGGGCTTCACAAGGGGTACTTCCTGTTTGAAGATTGTCCCGCCCCCATTTATGACATTACATCCGCAAAGGTCATTGGATTTCACCCCTGCTTTTATTCAACACCAATCATGTTCACTTGAATGTTGTAGAGCAGAGCAATGCCCTGGAGCTCAGGTGTTTACATTACAGATACCAACCTACTAGCAGGTACGAGTCTACCACACTCCCACTGAATTCATCCTCTGACCAGCTTCTGTGCCTTTGAGTAACAGAAGAGCCCCATCTAGTGATGTGAAGAAGGCCGACACATCGATTGAATGCTGGGTGAACTGAATCCACTTGTAACTTGAGTCAGGTTTTCCCAGTTTCAGATGTGTAGCTGACATTATTTACTGAAATGTTTGTTTAAAAAGAGATCAGCCTCTGAAACCAGGACATTTCTGAGTGACAATGTGAATTATATGCAATTATTTGTATCACCTAATATTAGAAATGTGTGGAAAGGAAGATTCTAATGTCTTTAATGCCACTTCCATTAAATAATATAGTGTAATGAAAATGTATAGTATGCCCTAAATATGTCCGTTTAGTATTCCATGAAAAGTATAATATAATAAGGTAAAACAAAGAGGCCATCATAACTTTTTTTAACTTTTTTGGACATACAATACGATAACGTACTATAGTGCGTCTTGCCTTTTTTCACATCCTATTATACAACTTTTATACTATAACTTTTTTTTAACATGACATGCATGTCCAGATAGTAAAGTGGTTTTTACACATACTATGTATTTCCCCTGGTTCCATTCTACCCCATCTATCAATAAAAAAAGGGTAAAATGCCAGATAAGTATATCTAAACACATGTTGACCCTGATAATCTAGTGACAGCATGTACATGGAGGCTAGAATGGGTCCCAGTTAAACACCCTGTGCAGCTTAAGTTTTTGAAAAAGTTGCTTTTCAATAATATTTTACCGGGGACAAACCTCAAAGAGAGCGGTTTTAAATATTGACCATGCAAGAGGCTAAACGCCTTTAGAAACAGAGAGTGAGCTCCGTGAACACTAAAGTAATCCAAGATAGATGGATTCGAGGAACCTCTTGTGACTGGACGAGGGTGAAATGTTTGCCCTGTATTGTTGTTCATGCCTCAGTTACTGTACTGAAAACCATTTGAGAGATGTATTTGTAAAATGTACAGAGAAATAAGTCGCCTACAAAATGCAGACAAACATTTGATAGTGAAAATGAAAAGTCAGTCCAAGTATTAATTCCACCTTTTACACACTGGCAGAGTTATCACACAGTATTCACATACAAACACTCCAGCACTCATGTGTTCAGACTGCAAATGCATTTGATATCAAACCTCAGCAGGTAGAGCTTCACTGCAATCACTCAGTGCCAATTCCTGATAACATCTCGTTTGTTCCACTACAATCAGGTTTTTTTTGCATCATTCAAGTTATTGCAGATGAGTGTTCTTGGTCGAGCTCCTGGTCTGCTCTTTTCTAATTATCCTGGAAACTGGCCTTCCTCTTCTCAACAAATGCGCTCATGCCTTCTTTACGATCATCCTGCGGGGGAAAACCAGACACACACACACATCATGACTGGACTGTCAAAACTCAGAGCCAACCCCCCCCGTCACTCCCTTTCAGTTGGGCTCTTCTACTCACGGTAGCAAAGGTAGAGTGGAATAAGCGCTTTTCCAAACGATTACCCTCAGCCAAAGTCAGTTCAAAAGCTGCAATCACACGGAAGAAACAAGTCAAACGAGTTAAAATGCATTCAGCTTAGTAGGTTTAAGGATATTCAACATATTAATAGAAACAAAATGTACACACCTGCATTAACAGCCTCTTTAGCCATAGCAGAGACCAGTTTGGAGTTGGCGGCAATTTTCTCGCCACATTTAACGGCTTCAGACACCAACTGGTCCACCGGATAAATTTTACTCACCAAACCTGAGAAACAGAAAAGGCTACTGAATTAAGTATAATAAATATATAAAGACATCAGTTTATTAGGTACACACACTGGTAGAGTCTAATGTGGGCCTGTGTTTAAATGTTTCAACATATCACCGCACTAACCACCGTTGTACGGTAGACTAGCACCACTTCTTTGCTTTGTATTATCTATTTGGGCAACTACCCATTTGTTTTACATCGTTTTTTACAGCATGAGCACCAAACAGAGAATGTCTGCTTCCTACTTTTATAGATCAGCTTGTCACCACTCAATCTGCGTACGGTAATAAAAGGCACACACAACATTCAGCGTGCGTCCGGCCCATCTGCTCCCACAAATGGGCGTTTCGTTTTTTGTCATGATAGTGTGTGTATCCGAAACATAAAGTTTTGGATGGACAGACACGGCTAAAACAAACTCTAACTTAACCCTCAGAAGAAAGATGCTGGGTGCATTTCCTTTTTCTCTCGTAAAAAAGTCACTTTAAAAATAAAGTAACTCAGTCAAGCATAAGTGCCTCAGCATTGTAGTTAAGTGCGATACTTATACAAGTAAATGCACTTTCAAACACTGTTACCTGATTGCTGGGCATTTTGTGCATTAATTCGGTCTCCTGTGAGTACCATCTCCATAGCCAGGGATTTGCCCACCGCCCGGGTCAGCCGCTGGGTGCCACCTGCCCCTGCAGGTAGACAGACATCATGAACTCCAAAGCAAGAATCTGGTAACCTTGGTATAAGGAAGCAAAGTCTGAACAGGAAATAAGCGGATACTAATGAGTCTTTACCAGGAATGGTCCCCAACAGGATCTCTGGTTGGCCAAACTGCGCCTTCTCTCCAGCGTAGATGATGTCACACATCATCGCCAGCTCACAGCCTCCACCGAGCTGAAGCAACAGAATATATAGTAGGAAACAGTGACTCTTCATTGATTCATACCTCGTTTATATTTGGTGCATCCTGAACTGAGAAAATACTGGATATACAGTTTTCTAAAGTCATTCTTTTCTTGCTTCCCACAAGCGCTCAAAATGAAAAAGATAAATGAACTTTAAAAAAAAAAGACACTCACAGCAAATCCATTGACAGCGGCAATCACAGGCTTCCTCACTGTGGACACTTTATTCCAATGAGCCAGGAAGTTTCCACCGTAACACTCCTGGAAAGTTCGATTCTGCATCTCTTTAATGTCCGCTCCCGCTGAAAAACACTAAAAGTTGAGCTCACTACTGATATCTCATTGTAAACAAACCCAGAAAACACACACTCTGTTCCCTCACCGGCAAAGGCCTTTTCACTGCCGGTGATGACGATCGCTCCGACATCGCCGTCAGCTTCGAAGACATCCAGGGCCTGTCCCACCTCCCTCATCAGCCCGTCACACAGCGCGTTGAGAGCCTTGGGCCGGTTCAACTGGATGAAACCCACATCGCTCTTCTCACCTCGCTTTTCCACCAAAATATACTCATACTGACCACCTGCATGAAGAGATAGAATTACGAAGAATTAATACCTGTTTCATAGTTATGCTGGAAACACTGATGGGAAAACCAGCAGGGACAATATGGCCTTAAATCACTTATTATTATATCACTGTTTTTCAGTACTTCCCAGCAGTATCGATCAATAATGCAACACATGAGCTTTATGAGACAACGACACATTATAACTAACATTACTGCCAAAGGCGAGCAAAAGAAAAATATGAAAGACTTTTGTAAATTAAAGCATTTCTAGACCTGCATATATTCCAGTGCACGTGTGTCACTGTTCTGTTAACTTGACATGAGCAGTGTAGACTTTCAACCAGGTGATGATCACTAGATTGGTGCGAGTCTTAGTTAATCATTTAAGAAAGGGTGAAGGATCACATCTGACTGCTGTGGAGCAGCTCCAGGATTTGTCTTTGATCTGAAATCATCACTGCTCTCAGCAGTAGACTCTTTGTTTTGTAATATGTTTAATGACTTTATAACAGCCGCCAACCATATGTCCTCGTTATACTTAGGTGGTTTAGTTTGGGCGTTTCGTATTTTATTTAATGGTGAAATAATTTTGGATTTCAGGATATTATTGTTTAGTTTTATGCATTTTATCTTTTGACATCTTGGGACCACGTTAGAAATAAGCGTTTTCACGTTATCCCGTAGAATTTTGTGTATGTCTGCAATCCATAAATAAATCATATTAAACATGCTAAAATTCATTACATGTGTCTGGGCTGTGCAAAGTTATAGAAACCACAACTTTAAAATCCATTTTTGGGTGGAATTTCCCATTATACGGTAACGATCCTCGTGTCAACAACATGCTCTTGAAACGTTCTGAAGTGCAAAGCCAACACTAGTAAACACAGATGAATAAAATAACAAACTTATAGCCAGCGAGCAGTGTGCTTCACAGGCGTCGCACACGTTCACATTCAGTGACGCAGGCTTGACATTGTAACGGGGACACTTGTTCCTGCAACACGACCACGGACAGGTATTTGAACACACACCTGGGCTGTAGTGGCGGACAGCAGACAGGACAGACGGAGCTGCTCTCGAGGACTTCAGGAGTGAAGCCGCACTTCTGCAGAGGAAAGCCATGACGGTGAGGACGGCAGGCTGTGGTCAGTGGACTTGCTCGGCTTCAATATCGCCGGAAGCTCCTTCGGTTTGCTTCTTCTTCTTTGTTGGTGTTTTCTCATGAGCATGTTTAACAAACTCGCGCTACCGCCACCTGGTGTCCGCGGAGTATGTTTTGTTTTGATTAGGTTGTTTTTTGTTGTTGAAGATAATAAATTTACAAGCATCAAGGAAAAGTACCATAACTACAATAAACACCTCTTAACAAAAAAGGTAAACATAAATAATTAGTAGAAATAGTGATAAGACTGCATTCTTCCACAGTAGCTTTAAGGGTCATCATAATCACCATCATCATGAAAATCATCATTCATTTTCAGTTCTTCATAAGCTCTAGTGAGAGACTTTACATGTTTACCTTTCATTCGTCTTAACTCTGCATGGTTATCAGAGTCTGCAGAGAGCAGATCCAGACGTAACTTCTTCTTCACTTTTAATGAATTTATATAAAATATGCTTTGTATGCGTTACTATAACATTTTATTGTTTTTATTGGGTAAATAATTCAGATAATATTTATTACATATTATTTATATTTGTCTAATATACATCCTGCTAAAATTGAATAATTGTATACATTATTATAAGATAATCTCAATAGCCTTATGTTAGAATACCTGTTAAAGTGTTAAAATATATATCATGCATAATTTAAAAACCATCCGAACATTTTGATAGAATGAACAAATACACATATTTGGTAAAGTAGGTGTTAACCACAACATATGAGAATGCTATTAAGTGAGAATGCTATTAAGTTATTGATTATGGTCATCAACAGCTGGCCCTTTCTTTATAATGTCCGAGAGAAACCAAATATAACACCGTTAGCAACATTTTATCTTGAAGTTAACCTGATTATCTAATTAAAGGAGACGCATAAATAAATCAGTCAGTACACAAAAAAAGTAATATCAAAGGTCTTTGATCCAGAATAAGAGTATATGAAGCTATTGACTCATCTGACTGTATCACAGTATTTGATGCTCTCGAGATGTGCCTGTGTGAATGCGCTGCGCGTTCTCGCAGTCATCTCCATGAACGAGCCTGCATCGTCCGTGACAATCCCTTTTCATCTTTCATCCTCCGAGAGCCAAAACATAGGCACGGATAAAAACACAAAAATAAGGTAAGCAGCAACCAGTATGATATACTGGTTAACGCGGACGTGGGTGTATATAAATACAATTAATTTATTTTTAAACTGTAGTGTAATTCCTGCAGGCTACTCTAGTAGCGTAAAGGCTAATTTATGAGAATACCGTGAAATGAACATCATGTATGAATGCATTTTCAAAACGTTTTATTGATATCATCGTACGTGAAATAATGAAAGACGACTGCCAAGATTCCGTAAGAACTCAATAATAACGATAATGGCCTCTTTGGTTTTAACAAGCATATCATCGTTTTCCATTTTCCATAATCATCCATAAAAGGAACGTTACTTCATGTATATGTCAAAAGCTATAAGCAATGTTCTCTGGTGAGCATATTTATTTTTAAACTGACCTACTTTAATGGAGAGGGGCAATCTGCAACATAGAAATGTGTCTTTACTAAACAGAAATACTGAACGCTATACAAGATGTCACATTTAGTAATCCGAGTGCTGTTCAGATCATATTATGTCACACCAGTTCAGGGTGATGTTTCTGACTTTTATACAAAACTGATTAGTGAATATAGAAAGCACGCTCGCAGCTGTTTGCGGAAATGTTCTGCCACTCAAAATCAAGACAAGTCGCTGTTTTAAAGCTACATACTCAAGATAAATGGATAATTTCTCTCTAATTTCTGCCCAGATGTCAGGAATGAACCAGGTGCTCGCGACATGCTGGACTTGCCTGCTGCTTTCTGCTTTCCTTTGTGAGCCGGTGCTGTCCAAGGGCGGTCGTGGAGGTTCCCGGGGCTCCTCTCGAGGTTCCCACTCCCGGAGCTCCAATGCGGGGAGTTACCGAGGAGGAGCCTACGGGGGGCCCCGCTCTCGCTACAGGTCGGTAGGGCGGTCCTCCCCAGTGAGGGTGGCAGCAGCAGCGGCAGCAGGGGCAGCAGTGGCAGCAGTGGCATTGTCAGCTGATAAATGGTACGCCTCTGCCTACCGCCGCAGCAACGCAGACGACGATCTGGATTACTACAACAGGACCAATTACTTTGATGCACAAATGTCAGGCTCAACACAAAATGGATCTTCTCTCGCTCAACTGGTGTCTATCATTATTGCAACATTTTGGCCCAAATATGGACTTTTACTGGACAATATACTGTAGATGTTTAGCTTATTTTTCGAGGATAAATTCCTGATTCAGTCTAGGATTGAGTGTCCTGGATCTGACTATAATGTGCAGGACTGGCCTGGAACCTGCACTGGAAAGACCAGTGGTGGAAGGACACGACAATTACAAAAAACACACTGTACTGTATGTTTTTACGCATACTCATCTATACCAACAGACAAATATAGTATTTAATGTGACATTTCGTCAATACAAGGCCGCGTCTTAGTCAAAACGGTGTGCGAAGAGATATTGTGTCTGAGCTCAAGAACAATTTGTTTCCTTCCCTAAAGCTTGATTCTTAGATCGAATTTTGAAAATGTTTCAACAGAAAAAACAATAGACTTCATAAAGAGTATAATATAACCACAGGCTGCCAATCTCAAAAAGGAAATGGCAATTTGTAACCTCAACCAATGTTTTTTTTCTCCTTTACTTCTGCAAAACATAACTTCAAGACTGGATTTATTTATTCAAGTCAAGTAAATTCTATTTATATAGCCCAATATCACAAATCACAAAATAACCTCAGGGGGCTTTTACGGGACACCATACACCCTCTGTCCTTTGTGACCATAGTCGTACTGCTGTCAATTGCCATGAAAATGATTCTCAACCATGAGACAAGGCAAATGAGAGTTGATGTGTATTGTCCATTGAAAAAGTTTAACTGTATTTAACTGTATTTCCACAATCATATCAAATGTCTGTGCCCTTTTATAACACTTGAAAATGTATTTCTCAGACCTGTGTGTGAACCACGTCATTGCTGGGATGGAGGCTAGCAAACAAACTGCTGCTCTCACTGTTATTCATGCCTCTGATGGTCTGTCCATCATTCCCGAGGAGCTTTTTACCTGCAGTAGACACTCAGGAGCAACAGACTGTTCCATATCAATAAGTGCACTCTATTACATGCTACAACACGTATAAATAAAATATTTGTTTTCACTGTCTTTATGCCAATAAATATCCTGTTTACACCATTCCAGATATCTGCGTCATGTATTCTACAACCAAAGCTGAGAAAAAATGTCTTACTCGAATCAAGTTGAATCATTTTATTTGCAAAGGATCCAGTGCTTTGTACATCATCCAGAAACAGACTGCATCATGTCCCCAAAATGTCGAAAAGCATGAGGTCATAGATGAACCACACTTTAGTGGTTAAATATAAGTCCTTCCAGGTTGAGGGCAAACAGGTAAAACCTAGAAACAAGTCTCTGGTTGTCTGCATTAAAATGTCTGAGGTCAGTCCAGCATTACTTGTCCCAGCTCTCCTTTCCTGAAGGTTCTTATGAAATCATAAGCTGCTGCTGTGTAGTTTGGAACAGTGATGGTGATATTTCCTGAGGAAGACGAGGAACAAAGATG